CATCAGTTGGAGCTGCTCAACCAGGCCGCACAGATGATGACGGAAACACGGTTCTCGCTGCTCGTTGTCGATTCCGCCACCGCACTGTACCGTACAGATTTCGCTGGACGCGGAGAGCTTTCTGCCCGACAAACGCATTTGGCCAAATTTATGCGCACGCTACAACGGCTTGCGGACGAGTTTGGTATCGCCGTTGTAATTACGAACCAAGTCGTCGCGCAAGTGGACGGTGGACCAAGTGCCATGTTTAACCCCGACCCCAAGAAGCCTATCGGAGGAAACATTATTGCACACGCAAGTACGACCCGTCTCAGTCTGAGAAAGGGTAGGGGAGAGACGCGTGTGTGCAAGATCTACGACAGTCCGTGTCTGCCAGAGAGCGATTGCTTGTTCGCGATCAATGAAGACGGTATTGGCGACCCCAAGGAGAAGGACCTGGAGGAGAGGAACAACAGGTGATGAGGGAGATGAGGTGCGAAGCGCCATGGAGTTGTGGCGATCTAGAGCTTTTGGTTTTACACGATTTACGTTTATGCAGCCGTATGATATCCTAATACATTACCTGAATGAATGCGCATTTTGTCCATCAGGACTGTCTGGCCTATCTTGGGATTGAATGGCCATACTATGTGGGGAGTGAGATAAGTGGGCTGCGTTCAGGGTAGCCTGCGGTGATGGACAAAGCGTCCGTGCACCAGCCAGCTTCGCGCATCCATCGTCGCGCAACGATTGTTTTCGTGAGCTTCACCTCCGCGCGACCGCCGCAACTCGACCCCAAACGCGCGCCGAACCTCTCACCCTCCGCAACGACGGCCGAACCCCCTTCGCATGCGAGCACCATGGTCCAACATGGAGGCACGTGTCTCTACAAAGAGGCGCGCTTGAACATTGAGCCCGCCTACCCTGGCTCGACCATCGCATTTTCGATCCCGTCGCATTCTCCCTTCAGCACACGATCCAGCGTAAAGCGCAGTGTAATCACGGAATTCTATGCGGACAAGGACGAGGAAGACTTCACAAGGCGCCATCTCGCTACAGATGGGTCCATGTACTTTCGGCAGCACCATGCCTACCCGCGCAGCTTCCTCTGGCGGGTGCTGGACAACAGGAAGATGCTCGAGATCCAGGCGACCGACTTCGATCACGACTACACCGACAAGTTCGAAGCAAACCTGACGCTCCTCTTCCAATTCCCCGCCCCAATCCGACCCTTTTGCGTCGCTTTCGCTGAGCCTGCCGACCGCGATGCATTGACCGTCTTTGCAATCACCACGGGCAACGAGCTCTACACGATCACCCTGCACCGCGACTTCTTCGCCAACCCCGCAGCCTCAGAGCAGGACTCGGAGACGTGGTGCAAGAGGTTCGAGCCGGCGCTCTTCAGCGGGCGCATACCCTACCGATTGGCCGCGGCGAGCGCAGACGAACTGCTAGTCACACTCGACGATGGGGCCATCTGTCGCTTGATCTGGGACAAGGCCAACAACATCTGGGACGGATCGCGGTATCAGCAGAGCAATTGGTCGGTGCGCGGTCTTCTCTCGTGGAAAGCGCAGCCCACGGTTCGCTTTGAGAACGCAGACTTTGCTGTATCAGCTGCGGCTGCCGTCGCGGTATCACCAGACAACAAGCACATCCTCTCAGTATGTCTGGACCACTCGATCAGGGCGTGGAACATTGCGTCAGGCAAGCCAGGCGCGCACATCGACCTCTTGGGTGCCGACGACTTCGCCATGGAGAAGTCTCATGGCTCATACTCCATTGGACCTTCGCAGTCGATGCTGATGGCTGTGGTGAACATTCCAGGTGGTGTGGGAGGCGCATTATACCACGTTGTTACGTACTCGCCAAAGCAGCACCAGTTCAAGTTCTGGGGTGTGAGAGATGCAGATGACCAAGAACACGGATTCTACGACGCTGCGCAAGACTCAGAGCTCATTCCGCCGATTGACGAACTCATGAACACGACCGTATGGACGCTGGAGGAGTTCCACATCATACCAGGGCCTAACACCTGGAGGGGCTCAGAGATCTGGATACGTGCCAGATCGGGACCGAGCAGCAAGGTCTACTCTCTCAAATTCGATCTCACCGACTACGCCGAACAACGAACACAAACGTGGAAGAATGATTGGGTGTCTGTCGACTCGGGCCCTCTGACCGTCGAAGCACTGAAGGTCAATCCCGCGAACCCAAGCGAGCGGGAGTTGGAACCGGAACAGGATCTCTCGAACGAGTGGTACGAGTTTCTGTTCTACCCGGGCCGATTCTCGATCGCGACATTAGAAACAGCGTTGCGCATATACAGGAGAGGCTTAGAGGGGATACGACACCGGTCAAACCGAGTTCACAAAGGGTCACTAAAAGAACGTCTGGTTGCCACGCTTGTCGCCCTTGCCATTGAACGCGGTCATGGCGAAGACTTCAGCAAAGACCTGACAGCGGAGTGGCAGGCATACTACGGCTTGGTGAAGGACTTGCACAAGCGGAGGGGAGAATCGTTGTCACTCAGTTACGACCGGGCTACTGACAGGCCGTGGCTAGTGTTGAGCGACCACATCTCTGCGATCAGGAACTGCAGCGAGTCGGAAGTAACTACACTGAACGCAGCAGTCATCTCAGGCTCGCGCACCCTGAGCAAACCTCTACGGCAAACTCTGGATACATCAGAATCTCGAGACGTGGCACGTCTACTGAATGCCGCAGCTTCCTTCCGCCAACGACTACCATACTTCGTTCAGCAAAAGGTCCAACGTCACATGGAGATGGACCTACTTCAGAGCCGGAACATCACGATCTTAGATCGCATGGAATGGATCGAAGGCAACAGCGAGCTTTCTCAGCATGTGACTGACGAAGATGTAACAACTCTTGTTGAAGAGCTCGGTATGGAAGTCAAGGATCTGGGTACCGAGACTTTCCTCCGCGCCATCAGGAAGTTGGACTACGAGCACGACGGCAGGCCTCAGTCGAGAAAGCAGATCGCGCGGTACGGGCTGAATGCGTTGTCATGCGTTTCCAAGGAGACCCTGGAGAACGACCACAATGCTTTACTTGATCTGCTTGTCCTGCTGCTATTCATGTTCATCGAGCTAGAGGGAGAGACACATGACGAGTGGGATGCGTCTGAGGTGTTCGCCGAGCTTCTACTGCGGTATAAGGACTGCATGGTCGTTTCTTGGTTAGCCCGTACGGTATGGTCTCACCAGACCGGAACCGGCCTTGCATCCGACAATCTCAACCGCATGTTGAGCGAGACTTACAAGACTGGTATGAAGTTACCCATCACCCAGACTGTTCTTGAGGGAATCTACGGAAGTCGTGCCTTTGAGGTGCCACTACCAAAAGACCCAAAGGCGGGTCTACTTACCCACTGGAGTCGCGGCTGGTTGTCATTCATCTTCGAAGAACACGACTTTGAGAACGCTGTGGAGGATATGATGGGAATACTCTTGTATCAGCAAGAGTACGAACTTGCTAAGGACTTTTCCAAGTTCCTCACGGAAGGCCACTGGGCGTCGTATCTGAAGGGACGGCTGTACCTTGCGCTAGGCAACAAGGAGCTGGCTTCTGTGTGCTTCCAGAAGCCTGCATACTTTCTGGGTAAGTCTTCGATATGCGATTTTATCACGAGGATACTAACCGCTGTAGCCCTCGGTCCCATGTTCGACGTGGCGGAGGAAGACAAAGCAAACCTCATATCCGAAGTGGAGCGAAACTCATTCTCCGAAGGTCTGGCGCACTATTACAGTCATGTCATTGGTCTGTTCGAGAAGGCCAAAGCGTACTCCTACGTTGCCGATTTTGCGAAGCTGGGGCTGCGATCTTTGATGGGCCAAGAAGACGTAGAACTGAAGACGGATCTGCTCCAACGGCTGTTCACCGCCTCGATACAAACATCCAGATTCAACGATGCATACGGTGCGCTGATCAGGCATCGGGACACGGCCTTGTAAGTCGAAGAACTGCTTCCACAAAACTTCGTATACTGACTATTTTCTAGAAAACTCTCCGACCTGCAGACGCTCATCACATCCATGGTGGCCCAATCGCAAACAACCGAACTTCTCAAGTTCCCCTTCGTCGGACTAACAGACTCGGTGGACACCATCCTCACATCCCTCTGCCAGAAGACACTCAACCTCGCGTCCGGACCACCCTACCACCAAATCCTCTACTCCTTCCGCATCTCCCGCAACAACTTCCGCGGCGCTGCATCGATCCTCCACGAGCGCCTCCAGCGCCTCAAGACAACATCAACCAAGATCCACGACCCAGCCGACGAGTCCCTCACACAGTGCTACCTCATGATCATCAACACCTTATCATCTGTCAGCAAAGAAGACGCGTACATCTTGGCTGAGCAGCGCATAGAAGCGACCGGAGGCCCGCCGCAGTGGGGCATCGGTCAGGGCAAGAAGCTACTTAGACGGCAGATCATCACGCTGGATTCCCTGAGGAAGGAGTATCAGGCGGAGCTGGACAGGATCGCGGCGATTGAGAGTGGCCGGTTTCCTTTTGTGGATCCGGTGGATGATATGGATATCCTGTGAGGTTTGATGTAGGGCTTGGTGGTGTTATAGCGCGGCATTTCTTTGGCGGCTTTTGCGGGTATTGAGAAAGGGATGGTCGGGGGGTTATGTAGATTTGCTATCTGGCTGGGTCTGAATTGGATCGTGGAGTGGCTAGATGGGATTATGAGAATCCAGATTTTGAGCGAATGATGGATGTTCATTGCAGTTTGTGATCCGGCAGTGTTTGTACTGTGATTCATGGAGAAAGCTGGAGGTGATCAGGTGAGATTGATGCAATGACGCGCTAGAACGCGTGCAGATGCGGGACGTCGCGAACCTCCAGGTAGGTGCGTTGCAGCCCGCTGGAAGACAGCAGCCATCAACCGCCCCTTCAGATCCTCACGCCTCGACCATGGCGCAATAATTTCCTGTCCTCATCCTAATTACCTCACAAACTACAAAAATACTACAACGACCCACGCAGCCATGGTACGCACCCGCCCTCTTACCCTGCGCGTCCCCCCAACTAACCCAGACACTCAGAACTCCAAATCCCTCCGCCGCCTCGCTGCCGACCACGGCTCCCTCCACACCGCCGGCCTCCCCCCAAATTATCTCTTCCCACCGGGGTCAGATGACTCGTCAGACCTAACTACGCTCGACATCCTCCTCGCCGGCCCCGTCGGCACACCCTACGCATCCGGCGTAAGTAATTGCCGATGTACGAACTGCATGTGAGACAAACACTGACTCCATACACCCATCTTTAGGTATGGCGCCTCCATTTAGACATCCCACCCACCTACCCCACCGCACCGCCCACAGCGCAGTTCCGCACGCGGTTATGGCATCCGAATATTGATGAGGCAACAGGCGCGGTGTGCGTCGAGACATTGAAAAGAGACTGGAGTAGCACGCTCAAGCTCCGCGATGTGCTTGTTACGATATCCTGCCTCCTCATACAACCGAACCCAGCGAGTGCGCTGAACGAAGCAGCAGGCAAACTGGCGACGGAGGACTGGGAGGGTTATTGTAGGAGGGCGAGGCTTATGACAGACATCCACGCCGCGATACCGAGGGATATCGAGCAAGATGTGAGGGAAGCACAGATGCGCGGCGAAGATAAAACCACAGAGCCGGAACAAACCATCGCGAAAACACATTCAAAAGGGAAGGAGACAGAGCGGGTTAAAGTCACGCCGTCAGGACCCAAACTCACGCGCATGAAGAGTGAGGATGAGGAGAATAGCAGGGTCAGGAGGGGTGGGACGCAGGATGCTGAGAGCGGGACTGAGGAAGATGCGGTGACTGGACGGAGGGAGGGGACGAGGAGGAGCAAGGTACCTGAGTCGAGGAGACAGGGTAATATCTTTGGGATTAAGGGTCTGGGCGACGGGATACAGCTTGACTCCCCACCGCAGAAACGGATTTTCGCTGTGCCGGGTGCGCATACACCGCCTGTTTCTACACCGAATGAGAACGAGAAAGAGAATGAGAATGGGGATGGGGATGGAGATGAAGAGGACCCGTTTACGACTGTGACATCGAAACGGAATACCCACACCGATCCTTCTACCGCAACGGGAGGAACAGCAACAGCAACACAACCCGACACCGAGACCCCCGACCTCCTCAAATTCTCAACTCAAAACCCCTTCGCTGCCATCCAACCCAACAACCAAACTCACCCCCTCTTCAGAGAGTTTTCGTTTAGTTGGGAAGATGCGATGGTGATACACGAAGGTGGCGTGGGCGGTGGGGTTGGTTCGGTTGGTAAGAGTGGTAAGAGTGGCAGTGGTGGTGTCAGTGGGGTTAGTAAAGCGGATGTACGCAAAAGACACGCAACAGAGGAGTTTGAGAAGAAGGAAAGGTGGGAGATGAAGAGGTTTAAGAGGGCGGGGGGCGATTTGAAGAGGTTTAATCGGGGGGATTGGGGGGTTAGGATGGGGGTTGGACGGCTTTGATGTGGGGGATAGTTAATGGAGGGGGTGCTCGATGAATGACGGAGGGGCGGCGGGAACTGGGAAGAGCGGGTGAGAGGTGGTTTGCATAGCGATATGGCGTTTTGCTTCATGATGATGATGCGAGTTCACGGCGAGTGTTGATAAAGATGGGATGGGACGGTAGTAAGGTGGTAGTGCTTATACCCTATGAATTACACTCCTACGATCAGCGAGGTAACATTCATTTCATCGGGTGCTTGAGTTGCGTGATGATGATCGTCATCATCGCCTACACACTGGATGAGGCTCACCACTTCCTAGGTGCCTCGTACCGCGGGCGACATAAAGTTTGAAGAATGGCCGGCACCGAAGTCCAGACATGCTTTTTCGACTTATCTTTTTCGACACATCGAAACCAGTCCACCATGTTTGGTTGCACCTGCTGTTGTGGTGTACAAGAGAAGGAAGCAAGGAGGAAGAGCATAGCGTGGATGTTCGCGGTTTTTATACCCCATCACCAATCTCTCTTTTCTCACTTCCGTCTTTCATGTCCGATGTTGCGTCATCTCTTGGTATGACAACACAGCCACCGCGTACACAGCCATGTGCAGCCCGGAAAAAGCTTTTTCGACCTCATCGCCAGGTTTTCCTTGTTTTTGGAGATCAGTGCTCGCATGTCAAGCTCTGCGGGCTCTTTTGTGTTTCGAGGAAGGAGAAAGAGAGGGCCAGACCGAACACATAAGATGTTCTGTCCATTCTTTTGGAAGGAGCCGCTGTCTCCATAATAACGCGACTTCGTATCTTTGGAGAAAGACGGGGAAAGTGGTGGATAAAGAGGAAGGAAGAGGGAGTGCCGGTGGGAGGTTTTATAGTGAAGGCCCAAGGGCGGCAGTGCTCGCACATGAAACGGCACGAAACGGCTTTTGGACAAGTTGTAGAGGTTCTTGTGTTGTTTTGGTATTGTTGGCGTGGCTCGCGGAGAATGCCGGGACACATGCAAAGTAACTTTCGTATTTTGGAAGAGAGGCACAGTCTCCATCCGCTGTGAGAGTGGTGTTTTTGGAGAAAGATGAGGAAGGTGGAGGATGTAGGAAGAGTAGTCCCGCAACCACAGAAGGCTTTTATATGCCGAGGCAGAGGGAGCGGCGTCCACATAGTACATGTCCCGGATCATTTCTGGTAGAGACAAGCTCGTCGCGGTGGCTGGACGGGAAGGGCAGAACATGTCGCGCTTTTGCATAATTTTGGAAAGAAGAGACAGTCTTCATAGCATCTTGTTCGCACTGTTTCAGAAAAAAGAGGAAGAAGTAGTGTGTTGAGAGAAGAGTACTCCAGTCGCGAGCAGAAGGTTTTATATTCGAGCCTCGCGAGGTTCGTGCTCATGTCAGCAAGCCTTGTTCTTTTCGTGCGCTCATGATGGTTTTGGACGAGGGAAGCTGGTCATGGGGAAGAACTTGGTGAGTTTTTGAAGAGCACAGAAGCACTCATGAACGCTTCTGGATGCGGTTTTGAGAATAGGAGGCGCAGTCTCCATACGCATTCGACAAGCCACGTTTAAAAGAAGAGGCGGATTCCTGCTCTCATAGCAGGCCAGGGTGCGGGTTTTGGAAGAAGACGCACAGCCGCCATGTAGTGATAGATGATGATTTTTGGAAACCCACAATAGAAGAGTGGATGTAGAGAAGAAGAGAGGAGCCGTCGCAGACGGAGACTTTATAGATGGGCGACGCACGGGCAGCGCGCACACATCGTAAGTCATGTTTTCTTTTTTGATGTTTAGATAATCTGTTCGCGGGAGAAAGACACCGTCATGGGACAGCTCAGGAACATTTTGAGAACGCCGCGGAGGAGAGGCGAACACATCGGTGCCTTGGTAGTAGATTTTGAGACGCGAATCCACAGCTCCATGCACAATTCGTCTTTAGCTTTTGAGAAAGAGGGATAGAAATGTTGGATATAGAAAGAAGAGAGACACAGCAGCCAGAATATTCGTTTTATAGACGGGTCAAGGAGACGCTGCGAACATCATCTCCTCTCTTCAGGTGTTTTCGTACGCGCAGGTTGTTTTTTCGTCGCGCGACGGCGCTTTCATTCCTTAATCCATTCATGCTTTTGGGAATAGCAGAAGAGAAGGCAGACACATAGTCACTTCTGGTCGCTCATTTTGAGACGGAAAGATGACTGCTGCCATCCAAACTTTGCGTATAGCTTTGGGAATGGAGAGTAGGATGTCGGATACCGTGCAGGAGGCACTGCTCATGCTTCATAGTGGTATTGTTTTTGAACGGCAGTGCGCAAAAACATGCATATATACACTCCGTCAGACTGCCAAACATGATGGCTACATCACAAGCTTTTAGGGTGTTGTGGGCTTTGGTCGGCTTCTCCAGCCATGAAGTCGGCCAACGCCAGTTTTAGGGAGAGAGCGAGGCGGAGAAGACATGGATGATGGCCTTTTGGCTTTTGGAAAACAGACGCCGCCTACATCGCCAAAACTTGGTGATGTTTTGGAAAAGATGAGGCTTAAATGAGGTGTATTGATGGACTGAGATCGAAGTAGCGGAGAGGGTTTTATACCTCGAGCTCCTAAGATGATAACGACGCAGAGCTGGCCCTGGTCATAAACTGTGGTATGCAACTTTTGAGACCTAAGTCGACGCTGAACGGCGGGCTCCCATCAAATCAATTTGCTTCAGTTTCGGAAACGCGAAAGAAGGAGACGACCATGAAATGTCAGAAAGTAGTTTTCGTAGAAGAGCAGTCTTCCTCATACGGGTCCCATCAAATCTTTTGGATTTGCAGAATGCGATTTTGTATATAGGAGGGAAAAGCTCGCGATGCGGTAGGTTTATATATCAAAGTCATGCAGACATATGGCCCAGGAGGTTTGGATGCTAGTGCTCGTGTGAAGACCGCAGAAGGCCAGCTACTTCTTCTCATATTCGTTTTGGGTACGTTTTTGAGACGTGGGAAGACTGCGAAGACCCATCGATTGGAAAGGCGCAGTTTTTGAGAGAGTCGGCGAAGACAGAGGCTCTCCATGATTTATGTACATAGACATTTTGGTAACACCCCCGGAATGGTTTGTTGATGAGTGAAGTCGCACCGTAAGGTGGGTTTCATAGCCGGTTCGCAGGCTCACGTGAAATAGCGCATTGGGCGAGACACAAACATGTCATGCGTTCCTTTTGAATTTGCATATGGGGTAGTTGATACGGCGCATGATAATATCGCTCCCATGCAATCGATCAGACTGACTTCGAGGACAACCTGGACGAAAAGAGCACATCGGTCGCTTGTCGAAATGTTTTGCTGGAACACTGACCGACGGCCATACATTTGTCTTGTTTCTATTGGGAAAGGTAGTTGCAGATGCTCGTTTTGGTGTGAGTGAGAAAGCCACGTCGATAGTGCGCGTTTTGTAGGAGTGGTGCGGCTGGTCTGCGCCCACATTGGCGGTGTCGCAGTGACTCCTTCCAACTCGCGTCATGCGGAAAGATTCCGAAGTTGCCCGTGCATTGGTGCACGCTCTGATATTGAAAGCCTGACATCATTAACTCGACGTCTAAGCTACTCCCCACCGCTCCAAATTATCATATGTAGCTTCGTAGCCTCCTTGCTCCCCTTCAATGTCACTGTCCCAATACCCATCATCGCTGTCGTACCCCTCCTCTTCGCTATCACCCTCTTCATCGTCGTCGTCGTCCTCTTCACTTTCTTCGTTTCCATCATCGCTGTCGTCACCATCCCCATCCTCCTCACTACTCCAAGGACACACTCCAGACTCTTCATCACTATCGATCAGGTCCAGCATTTCGATGCGAATCAGCTTGTGGAACGAACGATACTGCCACCGCTTTCTGGAATCAGGAAGACTGTAGGTGAATCCTCCTGAGTAATGACCCGTCAATGAGTCTCGTATCATTTCCTTCTCTTTGTAGTGTTTTAAGGGATTCCATTCATCATGGACACCCATGTCCTCGGCTTTCTCCTACCACAGCGCGTTAGCAATGGTCCTTCTGCAATACATGGGCATGGATGATATGGAGTGATCTTGCTGCGTACCTGCTCCCATTCTTCCTTGCTGAGGTGGAAGAGATTCGGCATGGGAGTTTCCCAGGTCTTGCCATCCTCCACACATTCACATCCTCTGTCGTTGGAGTAATCACAGGGATCTTCCTGCCATGTGATCACTACCTTGACTCCACGGTGTATCAGGTCATACACTGGCTTGCGAATGGCTTCTAGAGCATTTAGGAAAACGCGCTCGCAGTCCAGCATGTCTTTAAGTTCACTCTTCCTCCTTGGCGACTGGACGTAGTCGTAGCTTTCCATGTACAAGAGGATATGAACGGTCTGTGACATTGGAGAAACCCCCAAATAACGGGAGAAGTTCTCCTCGAGGGTCTGGTAGAGCTCAGTGAGGTCTGCTTTCTCTTTCGCCATATCTTGTGCTGGGTAGCTGTTAGCGACCGTTGATCTGGAAAGGTCAAATGCAAATGCCTCACCGCGCATATTCTCTAAGCTGATAGTCAAATGCAACATGGAAAAGCAATTGTATGGATAGACATTGAGGTCGAAGATGTCGTTTGTAAGCACATCATTCAGTTCTCTTGTTTTGCAACAAATATGTGATTGACGATAGCAGACCGTTGCCGCTTCACGCGCGAGCGCCTTAGGTACGTATGGTGGGTTGAATATGCGTAGGCTTGGTTTGATATAGGCATCCTCGCCAGTCTCGCGAGCTCGTAATTGGGCCGGATCCGGGTAGTCGTCGTCGATTAGGTACTCATATATGGAGCATCGCAACTTCTGAGGAAGTTTGGTCCAGATTGCTGTCGCTAGACTATAGCAAGCTTCCCGCTCACGGCGTACTTCCGCACGTGGGTCTATTGCACGGTGTTCCCTAGGACAGCGTGAATACCTAGGATATCGCAATCGCATGTAAATGGCAATACCTTGACGGTCTAGAGGACTCGCCCTTCTGTCGTGTGCGTTTAGGGGCACTGCGTTTGGGAGGCATTACTGCGTTGCAAAACGCGTTTTACTTGTGTGTTTCTTTGAGCGTACGTCTGCGAGACGACCCTCTTTCCGCGCTCTCGAGTGAAAAGCCAACCAGCCCCTGCCACTGTTGTGGGGCACAGCAGGTCCGTGCAGGTTCGAGATCTGCAAGCAACGCACGCCAACATGTCAAGGTCACCTGCATCACGTGAGAGTAGAATGCAACTACTCAAGTACTCCACGTTCTTCCTTGCGCGTGTTTGGATTGAAGTGTTTTATTACCAACCTTTTCTAGCTCCAACAATGTGATATGTGCCGGAAGCATAGGTGAGAGTCTCAAAGTCTTCATAGCCCCATCTTCTCCTCAACTGAGGTAGCATTTGGGCAAACTCGTCTTTATAGATGGTAGGACCGTCTGCCAGCATGCTTTGCTCGATGAAGTTCTGGCGAGGGTTATAGTGTCCCCATTGCAGCATGTGCTCTTCCTTCTCCTTTCGCCATAGTTAGCCTTGTTACCCATTCGTTGTGTGCAGACTGCCCTTCTCCCAATTTTCTTTAGTGAGGTGAAATAGCCCTCGCATCCTCCTGTCTTTTGGTGGCCGGCGGACATTCATCAGGCATAAGATTGTAACCGAAGAGCCGGAGTATTTCAGATCGTAGAGAGATTTCCTCATCGCCTCCAACACATTAAGAAGACTGCGCTCCACATTCAGAAACCCGATACGGTATGGATCTCCATCGGCCGGCTTCATGTCTCTTTCATCCGGTTCCCCTCCCCAATACCATTCATCTTCGCTGGGCATAATCTGAACAGTGACGTCAAGCTTAGATTTCTCCACAATCAGCGAGAGCCCGGATTCTAGGTCATCGTGTAGCTTCTCGAGATCCGATAGTTCATCGCGGGAGGGCTCCTCGGGGTTGATCGACATGGGCGGGCATATGTCAGTGAGATCGATACGGATGAATAAGTGCCGAATGAACTTGTACGGCAATATACCCAGGCCGAACAAGTCCTCCACTATTTGGGGCTTGAGATACTGTAATCCCGGGAGCTTGGTAGGGTGGTCTCCATACGAATGGTAGGATTGAGTGCCCGCATCGAAGACGTTGGTAGCATAGTAGCGTTCCGCGGCTTCGCATGCAACCTCGTAGCCCACATAAGATGGGCAAAATACTTTATAGCGTTCCTTGACATATTGCTCATCAGATGCCGTGCTAAGACCTTCCATACCTTGTCTAAACCAGAATGTGTCCTCCTCAGCAACAAGGTACTGGTACACTTCATCGCGTAACTCTCGGGGCAGTTTAACGTGTAATTTGGACGCAATTTCACGGACATGCTCTCGATCGCGCCTTGCCACTATCTTTTGTTGTTCCCTATGACAACGTTAATCAGGTATGATTCAGCCTTTTGCAGTGCAGACGACCGTACTTGGATGGTCTATCGCGGTTGTATGGCTTGTCGATGTACCGCACCCAAGGCGTCCTCCAACACTCAATTTCTTCCGGATTCAACGGATTCGAATTTTCCTTCGTGAGATCCCATGAGTACTCTGACTCCCAATCTGAATCCATATCCGAATGGTCGTCTGAGTACTCCGGCTCTGGCTCGGAATGCCGCTGGTAAGGGCGTAAACAGCCCGAGGATTGTCAAACGTCAGCTGGATCGACGCGATGCAAGAACTCCAGACTACATAGCCAATATGTACACTGGAGTGGTTGCGCTTCTCGATCGTCGTCTGCACCTGCGAGGATGGAAAGTGGGGCATTGATGGTACCAAATAGCGTCTAGATATCTAGGCATGTCGAGCTCTCCAGGGCTTCCTCCAATGATCGTTTGACGCGTCGACGCATGGCCCCTTTTATCCCGAGGTCCCGAGGTCGGCACGGACCATGCGTCCAGACCGCTCACCTCCGTTCATCGCGGGGCGTACTCTGACAGACCCATTTTCAAGCAGGAGAAGCAAAAAGCCAGCGCAGCGATGCCTCCGAAGGGCCATCATCTCGATGATGCGCGTCTGGGAGATGGGGCTACGAAGCCACCCAGGTATTCCCATTCCTGCATCGTCGTCGCCACCTTCCGCAAAATTCACGCCTGTGCAGAAGGAATCATCACAGAAAACCGCTATCTACTGCCCAACTCGAGCGACAAGCTTGCCGCCACTTCGCAACAGCATTTCATGCCAAAATTCCCCGGAAAATACGTGACATCGTGTACATGCACTTCATCGAAAAACCATTCTTCTGGCCCGTGGAAGCTGGAGATATAGAGCAGCGCAAGAACGCCTACGTTGAGCACCAATATCGTATATACAGCGCAGCCTACGTGGGCAGAAAAGTCGCCAGCGAAGCAGTGGAATACTACTATTTCAGAGAGCACCAGGTTACCAACGTCACGAACTTGAAGAAGACGCTCACGAAGGATATGTTCAATCTCGGCGTTAAACCGTACGAGTTTATCCGAGTGCTGCACATTTACCTCAATATTGACAAGGTAGTCACTCGATCGAAAGTGGACTGGGAGGGCTGGCTTGTCGAGGAGGAAGATCCAGAAGAAGCGATTGCGAGGGAGAAGAGACACCTCAACGATTTGTATCAGAAACTGACATCTGGCTTGTCCCTCGTTGTGCGAGGAAGACGCCGTTGGCCGGTGAAGATCATGATCGAATTGACGATGGGCAGTTATCCAGGTGGCGGTGCTGATGCGAGGACTCAAGATCAAGTCACCGCTCGGCGGGACTACGAACGTGGGTTCTTGAACGTACTGGAGGCGATACGCGGACCGGTGTATGACACGATACATGCTGGCTTCGAGGTCGAAGTTGCATGGAATGGGAATAAGGCTTTTACCCAGACTGCTCTCTCTGAAGAACGTAACAGGAATGAACGCGATGGTAGTGAAAGTGAAGATGATGGGTACGGTAGTGCTTGTAGCGAAGAGGGTAACCACTGCTTCTGTTACTATTACCCCCCGAACAGTACGCAAAAGATGTTCGAGCACGTATTAGACTTCTTCCGCCTCAGCAAGGAGGAATGGGAAAAGGTTGGTACATCTATCGGACTTACGTCACACTCCCCCTCATCTGTACACAAAGCTCCGCATAACAAACTCCTTATCCAGATACCCCACCCACCCCCATCCCTCTCCATCCCCCACTAACCCCTCTCCCAGGAAAAAGCCTCACAAGTAACGCGCAACGGCAACTACAACCCCAAAGCGCACTACAAGCCCAAGAGCCTACTACGCTACACCCGCGATATCAACAAATACTACCAAATGGACTTCGCCAGAAACCTACCACAGTACCGAGCTAGGTGGGATTATGAATCGTTCGAGCGGCTGCTGCATCTGGGGAGATGGAACGTCCGATGGAAACGATACGATGACAGTTCCGATTCGGGAGGCTGTTCGATGCTGTGGCATACGAATAGCAGTGCGTATAGTGATAGTGAACGCCCGGATGGTTGGTATGATAGGTACGAGGATGAGTATACCTCGGAAGAAGAGGGCGATGAGGATGAGGAGGGTGGCGGAGATGTGTACAATCACAGCGACGATGAAGCTTCCTACGACAGCTTGGATGAATGGGCACTTGCGCAAATCGCGTAGTGTATACTTCCGACGGCTAGAATTATTGGTTCGGGACTTCTTACGATCAAAGACCTGAGTGTGGAGCAGGAAGAAAGGACTGACGAGCGATAGCATAGTCGTACTTCGCAACCGATCGATTAAACGGACCAAATCCAAGCCCGTTGAGGGACTACCCAGGGATCAAACACGCTCAAATCTATGAAATCCAACGCTAGCCACCCATTGTTGAAAGTGCGTCCCCGCAGCTCACACTACTCCGTTCGCAGCGGCCACCTTACTCTCGTCACCATTCTGCAAGACCTCATCCGCCTGCTTAATCGTAGGCACAGATTCAGACGGAACGACGAGCGACGCGCCGTTGACGACGCCGTTGGTAGAGTCTTGGTGCGGTGCTTGGAGTCCTTGGCGGACCTTCAGCACGCTGTCGACGATGACGGCGTCGATGCCTTCGTTTCGTTGGAGCTGTTTTGCTGTTAGTAACTGTTGCGTGAAGTGAAAGCCTGCGAGGGCATGACTTACCAGGACGTTCTTAGGGTCGTTGTTCAGTATGCCATACGAGACGCACACCAAACCACTTTCCTTCACCACCTTGACGAGTCGCGGGCACATGACCAAGGGCTCAGCAGCGGTGACGACTCCCAGCAGGTTCCAACGGCTAGCAAAGCGGATGGCTTCTTGTAGACTGGCCGCTCGCACATCACCTACTGGCAAGGTTCCCGCGTCGGTAAGGAACAGTACCGGAATGGAGGGCTGCTTGAAGGATAGCATGAGGCAGACGTCCGGGTTAAAAGACGAGAAGATAATGTTCCGTTGGCCCATCCTGTCGTACACCTTCTGCAGCACTGTATCGACGAACTGGTTCAGTTCAACAGCATACTGGTCCATCTCCTCGTCCTCGGTTTCGTAAAGCATAGGGTACTTGAACTCGACGTTGAAACCGACTGATTCAGGCAGCTCATCGAACATGCGGTCTAGGGTCGTGAATGAGGACTGGATAGAGGTTCCACGGTTGTTGCCCTTGAAACCCTTTTTCATAAAGTCGCGGGTGTACTTCATTCGCTCCGCGAGCTCGTTCTGACGATCAGTGTGGATGTTGCGCTGTTTCGAGTTGTCGACTGAGTATGATCGGAGTCTCCGGGTGTTGGGCTTGTCGTCTGTGCCATTTGCACCGTTCAGAACAGGCACAGTTTCTGGCGATCCAGCGCGAGAGGATCGTGGCTTCTGGCCCTCGCCTATGTGCAGGAATTGATCCAGTGTAAGCGTGTGTACGGGTGCATCGATACCAGTCTCGCTAACAAGGAAGTCGTGATAGATAACCGGCACATGGTCCTTGGTTAGCTGAACGTCAAACTCCACATACTCCGCACCCAAGTTGGCAGCGGAAATGAAGGATTGAATCGTGTTCTCGCCAAGTTGTAGTGACGTGCGTGAGGCGGTGTTCTTTCCTAGACCGCGGTGGCCGATGACCATGGTCGATGCGGCCATCTTCTTCCAGTAAGTGTGCTGTTCTGTGATGGACATGCTCGGGTGATGGAAGGGTGTAATGATCAGGAAGTTGAAGTTGACAGTGCCAATCACGTCCAGTGTCGAGGCAGCCACGATTGGTACCTTCATGTCTCCCTGGAGTGAGATACGCTTAGATCCAATGCTGGTCTTGATGGTCGACAGCAGTGCCACTGCACGTCCTACGACACGCTCTTGAGAACCTGCATATGTTGGGACAATGTCGAAAAGCAGCTTGACTTTGGTGGCGTCGCTAGTCATGAAGGTGATGGGCTCAGTCGCGATGTTTTCCTGGATGGGTAAATCGATGACGGAGGGCTCTCCATTTGCGCCAGACGCATTCACAACCACAGATAAAGCGGTGTCGAGTTGCGTCGCATGCGCGTCGGCAAGAGGTATGTCATCCAGTTTCACGGCGGGCACATCTTTCCTGGCGTCCATTGAACCAAGGCTGACTAGAATCATCGTCTCTTTGGTTAAGTAACGATGACCAAAGGTCTTCACGGGTTCGGGCGCCTTTTGAACAGGGGTGTTGGTATCTCGGTTCAGATTCTTAGACCGTCGCTCATCAAGAGAAGATTGTGTGGGGGAGCCAGCTCGAGCAATACGTGTATCCTTAGGTGCGACAAGTGGCGGCTCTGTCGCAGGGGCAAGTTCTGCAAGTCTAATTGCTACCGCAATGTGACCACGGAGCGTGGCGTGCTCCTTTGCGGTCCAGCCAGAGTTATCGCACCTCTGGAGATCAGCTCCGGCCGCGGCTAGAATCTCCACCATGGAGACATGGTCATCGACAGCAGCGATGAAGAGTGGCGTCCAGGCAAAAGTCTTCTCGGGTACATCGACCTCCGCCTTGTTCATACTGGATCCTGCCAGCAGAACCTTGGCGCACTCGTCGTAACCGTAGCGTGCCGCCATATGTAGTGCGGTCTCACCACCCTCATCCGTATAGTTCACGTCAACACCCGCCTCGACCAGGAGCTTGACAATGTCTACGAAGTTCGACCGGGTTGCCAGGGTCAAAGCTGCTCCTGATCTCGCGATAGTTTTGCGGGATGTAAGGCGTTCTTCTGTGGTACCGCGCCAGTTTTCCGCATCGAGGAGAGCTTTGGTGGTGAGGGGATGGCCACCCATTACACTGAGATGCAGAGGAGCGTTACCCTCAGCATCCTGCCAGTATGCGGAGTCAATTCCCTGAGCGACATCAAACTGACCCCAGTCTTGCATGTGCTTCATAACGACCTGGCAAATGACGACAAATCCATATTGCGCAGCATAATGGAGCGGAAGTCTGCCATAGGAGTCCCGCGATTGCAGCGCATTGCGCTGCTCAGCCTGGAGTTGATCAAGCAGGTAAACGAGTAACCGCACCGACTCATCATTCTCGCTGAGAAGTTGCGTCGACTCTTCTTCGGTGGTGGTACAGGGGCGAGGTTGGCGATTGGGATCCGTCGCAGGCACAATGAAGTTGCGCGACTCGCTAGAGCTCTGGAGAAGGGTTCCATCAGCACCGAACGTGTCCCCAGTTTTCGATCGGCCGATATTGATGACAAGTCGGTGGATGCAATTGCGCTTGTTGATGTCGTCTTCCTCATCTAGTGAGATAATGTCCTTGAGCAATCTCTCGATACATGACTTTGCTCGGCATGAGATGGCGCGTTGCAGGAAGTTCAGGAGTACTTGCTGGAACGAAGCACTCGAAATGCCATTGCTCGCCGCAGCTTCTGTGAGTTTCTGGTTGAGATCTTCGACCTTATCGCCCCGAATAGCCGTATCCACAGCGTCGAGGAGGCCCGCGGGAAGGTGTAACGAGCGACCTGGAACTCTGCCCAAAGAAGCAGCCGAATGTGAGGAGCCTGTGTCGTCGAATGTCTTGATGTCGCTCAATCCCGAGAGCCACTCGTTGACTGCCTTCATATCCTGATTTAGAGGCAGGTTATGCGCAAAAGGCTTTGGGTTGACTTTCGACGCCAAGTAGCGCTCCTGCAGACAAACTGTCTCGATCTTCTTGTCCAGCTTCTTTGTGATCTTGATGAAGCCTCTACGGTTCACCTCTCCGTACCATTGAAGCTTCCGCATTGAACCGCGCAGCTCGAGCAGCGCACCCATGAGATCCTGCGCTTCATCCTTGTCGATGCCGTCGGGCAATTGTGCGACTCGTCCGTAGCGGCCATGTAGAAGCCTCAATCGTCGTGCGTTTTCGGCGTATTTGCGGTTGTAGAAGTTGTCGACGTCTTCGAGATTGCGATCGAGCGAGAAGAAGAACTCTGGGGTGAATGTTAGCCACGTGTTCTGCGACTTGAAGTTCAATGGTCGCGATAATTATGACGCGCTCGTGACGACTCCAAGATATCCACAACAGCTTGGTGAAGCATAGCCATGAAGTATTTGGTATGAGTCTTGGCAGAGTTGAAGTCTACTTACCAGCAAGATCTGGAGCCGAGCCATCTTTCGAAGCATCAGCAGCGTTCTTGATGAGCTTCTTGAGGCCCTTGTAGTTGATATAAGACGCCGCCCATTCCGGGACCTGGTTCCTTGGTAGGTTGTGTCCGAACTTCATCCTGGGGGCGAAGTAACAATCGGTGGACAACTGGATCCGGGTAGAGCTTGATATCGAGCTCGAGGGTAGCTCTAAATCGTATGTAGGACTAGCTCTAGGCAGGCGGGGGCGGAAAAAGGAACGAAATATAGGTAGTGGTAGGATTGAATGATCGGCAGGGCAAGAGCCAGAGAGTCAATTCCATGCGGCCTGCGCAATCAACGCGTTAATGTTGAATCTTTAGGGTGTGCTCGAGGCGTCCATTCTCATTGGAGGAGACGGAGCTCGACAAAAGCGCGCCTGCAACATGGTTAAACGGACTGTCAAAAGTAGGGAAAGCCGTAGCTCGAAGCAGGGGAAGTACACTGGAGCGGCGGAATCGCTGGTCAGTGTTATCGGTGCGGAGCTAGACGGGTGAGTGAAAGACGTTGAGATGAAAAGAGACGTGGTTGGTGCGTCGCAGTGATCCCCAAATGACGTATGGCGACAGAGCGCTTTGTTCAGTCACTCCCGCCAGCGCGCGCAGAATGTCGTCTGCCTTTATACTCGCTGTCGCTGCAAAGCTTTGAGTGTCTCGGTTCAACGGTGGATCCCTGCCCCAATTATCACATCCTAATGCGTCACGCTTCAGCGCCTCTCGCATCGGCGGGTCACGGCGGTGTACTATATATGTTTGTCAGCTTGGCTCGCGACGGACATTGCACGCGAAAAGCTTCTTCTTGGCACTGCATACAGCAACTTGTGCGAGCGTGAAGCACGACACAACTAGGCATGCCCAGGTGGTGCTGGCAGCGATCGTGAGGACTCTGGCGCGGGTGCACCCCGGGGCCAACACGGGTAAGCATACACGCGACAACCTTCCATGGCGGGATGCATGTCATTAGCAGTGCGTGGAAGTGCATATGGGGGCACGGTAGCTGGGGCCGAGTCACACCGCATCGAAGACTGATTAATGTGGATGGTGGGGTTGCATTAATAC